GTGAAACCCCATCTCTACTAAAAATACAAAAAAATTAGCCAGGCGTGGTGGCGGGCGCCTGTAGTCCCAGCTACTCAGGAGGCTGAGGCAGGAGAATGGCGTCAACCCAGGGGGCGGAGCTTGCAGTGAGCCTGGGCGAAAGCGTGAGACTCTGTCTCAAAAATAAATAAATAAATAAATAAATAAATAAATAAATAAATAAATAAAATGTATGCAATCAGAGACACATGTAATGGTGAAAGAATGATAGCAAGGTATTTGGTGTCTTACCATATAAAAATTGAGTTTATTATTTTGCTTTGTTTTGAGCTTTAAAAAAAAATCAGTTTGTTGAAGAACTTTTAACCATTTACACATCAGCAGCTTATGAATATCAATAATTTCTGAATTAGCTTTGCTTTAATCAATAGTTATGTTCCTTTCTTTATTGGACTGGGCATACAGCTTTTGTTTCTGGAATGAAAAGAGTAATTACAAATAACTCTTTAAAAGAATGTCAGTATCCTCTGAATATTCCTGATCCTAAAATATGTTTTATCAGATATTAAGGATATCATGAAAGAAAATTAAGTAATTCTTTTAATTAAAGAAAAATGAAATTTGCATTAACTTATTCAAACTTTTAGAAGTTTACATTTTCATTTCTTTGTGTGTTGAACCAGCTTAAACATTCTTGAAGAAAACTTTAGTCCTTTCTGCCATAAAAAGATGGCATTGTTGTCTAGTAAGGCAAATGACCATAAAAAGATAATTTTTAAGTCACAGGAATTTTATAGATACTCTGAATTATCTTAATTTCCTTCTTACACTTTCATCCTGCTGGTTCTGACTCCAAGGTATATGCTGAATCTATTCACTTTGGTCCATTCTACAGCTACCATGGTACATCAAACTACCTTCATCTCTCATCTGAATTAGTGAAACGAACTCTTAATGGTTTCCCTCACTTCCCCTCTTGCCTCTGTAATTCATTCTCCACACCACAAGTCAGAATCATCTTTTCAAATTGTACGTCATATCTTCGCAAAATGTAAATCACTCCTCTACTTAAACTTCTACAATATTTTCCCACTGAACTTAGAGCAAAATCTTGACTCCATAGCATACCCAGAATGCTTTCTTCCTTTTCCAGGT